TATATATGAAATTTGTTGGTGAAATCTAAATCATTTTGTCATTATCCTTTAATTTTTTTCAGAATTTTTTTTAGAAAGAATGATATTTTTATTACATAGAAAATAGTTATAAGTTTAAATTTTTTTCACTTATTTAAAAATACATATTTCTATCAATAGTTAAATTAAATATTAATTAAAATTGAACCTTAAAAAAGTTTACTAAAAGTTGTAAAGAATTTTTATAAATAATGTAAGACGGAAAAATCCACACAATAAATTATCACCTGTTATCATTTGTCTTTAAACGAAAAATTATTTTTTCTTACTATTAATACTGTTAAAAATATATTCATTTATGTACATCACCATCCGTTCACTTTTATTTAATGATAATAAAAAGATAAAAAATTAATTTTTAATTATTATTAAAATAAAAATATTATTAAAATTTAGAAAAAAATATTCTTAAAAGATATTTTAAAAAATAAATACAAAATTTAAAGATTAAAATAATTTATATTAATAAAAATAAAATCAATAATAAGATATATACAATAAAAAATATTATCTAACAGTTACTAAAACATAGTTATATATAAAATATTTTTTTTAACTTAGACGTTTATATTTGTATTTTTCCTTTTTTTATAAAGATAATTAAAAGTGATTATATATATTTTTATTTGTGCTTTCTTGCCTCATAAAGATAATTAACAAAAATTGTATTATGTAATTACTCCCTTATAGATACTTTCTATCCCTTTTATCTTGAACAAAAAAAAATTATAAAAATTAGTAAAAAAAAATGCATAACTATGTTATTCCACCAAATAATTTTTTAAATATATATTTTTAATTACAACTCCAAGTTATAATATTATTAGAATTAATTATTTTATTTAAGTTATTGATCTCTTTATATTTTAAAGCTCTTTCACATATTAAAGAAAACATATTTAAATTATCTTTTTAAAATTAAATTTCAAACATTTAAAAATATTACATATATGAAAATATTTTATTATAATAAAATAACCATTGATACTACAAAGCGACTATGTGTTTCCAATTATTATTTTATCATTAAAGCAACGGACCATTCAGTTTTCTTTGCTTGATCCCGAGATCAAACCATATAATAGTGTGCAGACACACCATCGATCAAAGAAAAACTTTGACACAGTCTTACACTTATTTAACATATTTTTTTCACTTTTTTATTATAAAAGCATTTTCCATTAAAAAAAGCAAGTTTTTCTTATATATGTCTCAATTTAACTTATTCTTATATAAATAAATTAAGTTAACCTAAGTCAAACATAAAGATTATTAACCTATTTTTCTAATATTATATATTATAATCCATTTAAGGTAACATAATGGTATTTCACTGATTTTAAAATCATTAATTTTCTAAACAGAAAAATAATTAGCTTTAAAAATAGTCTTTGAAAGAAATTGATGATGACACAGAGAACAAGGGTGACTGAGTTCCTTGATGACCAAGGAAGCTTGTTACTTGTATCTCAAGGACTCGCAATAATTGAATTCTTTAATTATTAAAAGAGGAAATGTTGTATTTCCTTCTATTAAAATCTCCTTACAAATTCTCTGTTACTTTACATATATTAAATAAAATAAATAAATAGACTTACAAATATAAAATTCATTCTTCCACACTTTCCATAAAAAAAATTCTGAAAATTAATATTAATATTTAAGGAAAAAGAAAGTGAAAATAGAAACAAAACATGCTATAAAACAACCATTCTTTTCCAAAAGAACATTCTCAGAAAAGAAGAATCCTTTGTCTTTCTTGTTGCCATGGAAGAGCACCAAGAGAAAACCATCGTCACCAATTTCGTGAAATCTAAATTTTTCTTTCCCAAAGTTATTCGCATTTCAGCAACGGATCAGAACGCCACAGACTCCTCTAGCGAAGAAGACGATGAAGAAAGGAACCTTCACAGAGTTAAGAAGGTGGTTAGTGAGATAAGAATTGTTCATGCAAACAAAACCAAAGGACACAACAAAAACATCAACAATAATACTGATTGTTGTTGTTGTTCGGCCAAATACAACAAAACTATGGAACAACACTACCAACAAGAAAAATCAGAGCCCAAGTTTCGCGGCGTGCGGCAACGGCCATGGGGACGGTGGGCCGCCGAGATAAGAGACCCTTTCCAGCGGAAGCGAGTGTGGCTTGGAACCTTCGACACGGCGGAAGAAGCTGCTATGGTTTACGACAGAGCTGCTATAAGCTTCAGAGGTGTTGATGCTGTCACGAATCTCATCAAACCGCCTCTGAAAGAGTGTGAAAGTGTTGTTAAACCGAAGAGTTGTTGTGCATGCGCTTCACCAACTTCTGTTCTGTTGTTTCAGCCTTGGATGGAACCTTTGTCTTTGGAAGAAACCTTCAAAGAAGAAATGTTTGATGGGTTAAACTATGAAGTTGATAGTTTATTGTTTTCTGATCATGCTCTTTATGAGCAACCTCTTCCTACTATGTTGTCTAACGTTGATGTTTCTTTGGATGAGGATCTTGAATCATGTAAATGGGATGTAGATAGTTTTTTCAGTGATGAAACTTTTGAATAATGAGATGTGGATTAATGCTAACTGGGTTATATTCCTTTTTCTTTTTTTCCTGAGATTAGTTCATTTTGTGTTGCTGAGTAGAGTTAATCTATAAGTTTACTTTCTATTCAAAAAAGTTGTATCCTTGTAATTAGTTTACTCAGAAAGATGCTTCTTTATTTGTTCGAGGAAGAAACTTGTAAATAAAGCATGTGACAGTGGTAACACAGCTTTTGATCTTTGGTGTTGTTAACTTTTAAATGGAACATGATAACAAACTGTGATAATATATTTTTTAATAGACCAATCTGTTCTGTGTTACTGAGAGAGAATTTCAGTGTTTTTGACAGAACTGATAAGTTTTAATTTATGAATTTACTTTTCTTTGAAAAAAAATTGTATCTTTCTATTTAGTTTATTAAAAAGGTCAATCTTTTTTGTTTGTTATAAAAACTTCATCTATAAGCAGATTAGAGTGCAGTTAACTTTGTTATCTGCTAACTCCCAAGTTTTGGTTGAGATATTTTTTTCCTATGCATTGTCAAACATTTTGGACCAACCAAATGGCATTATTCATAAAGTGAGTCCACATGTCATGTTCAATGGTTGGCCACCTTAGTGCTTCAGGGCCACACATACTGCATCTTGGACTCTTGGCTTTTTCTGATAAAATGTTTGTGTGGTGTGATGGTCTACAAATAGCATTTCAATGGCATGTTTGAAGGTTTATAATTTATGTTTAAAGTCACTTTCTCATGTACTTTACCATGTTTGAAGGACTACATAGGCTTGCATTATCGCTTCTTTCTGATACTTTCCAACATCACATCTCAAACAGAGGCATGCAAGTTGGTCTGATTTTTACATCAAGTTTGGAATCACAAGGTCGAAATCTTTAAACCCGTTTGAAACTTTTATAACCAGGTGACACAAAGGTTTGATTTTTTTAATGAATTTGGATTCAAGCTCTCAGAATAAGAAAGAACAAATTAACAAATTAACACTGATCAAAAACTAAAACAAATTAGAAGTTATAAATTACATTCCTCATAAAACTTAAACTTAATGTTTATAAGTTTTTTTTTTCTTATATATTACTGAACTTGTTCATCTCTGTTCAAAGTCATATATATGAAGGCACAGTTATAATCCTAACATAATGGGAAAACGTTCTAATCCTGTGGATCTACTGAAAAGGTGTTCGCAGAAGGGACCAATGACATGCTTCCATCATTAATTTGGTTTTGATTTTTTTGTTCTTGAACATACCTTTTGAAACACAGGCATGCAAGTTGGTCTGATTTGGGTAGTTCATGGATCTGACAAAGAAAAAGTTCCCTCATTCTTGCACTCTAATCAATTTTTTTGCAGAACGTTGACTGAGTTTTGAAATCCCTTTCTTCATAGAAGATTAATTCAACAAGCAAGTTGTTGCAGTTTCATGAAAAAAGGTAACTTTTACATTTTCTCTAATCTAGAATTAGACAAATGCAATTACTACTTGTAGAATCCTTCTAGCTCATCATCCTTTCCAATGTTTTTGTCTGAAGAAATTAAGATTCATGGTTTCTAGATTCTTGGACAGAACACATGGATATGCTAGATTCAAGAATGCCCAGTGACTACTTAAGGATCAAGTCAAGGAACTATTTACAATTTTTAATGTTTTCAATTAAGAACTTTGTCATGCGTAGACATCATAGTTTGTTTTTCCCAAAATGATTCATTCACATTACACATGGAATTCTTCACAAGGTCACACACATAGTAGCTTATACCCTTCTATTATTCAACAAATTTTAGTACATTCTACCAATATTAAGCAGCTTGAGAAACTGAATTAAACTTTTCTTTAATAATCTTGATAAGATTTTTTCTAATTTAAAAAAATAAATTACTTTTACACGAGTTTCTTTTAAATAGATAATGAGACCAATTTATTATACACCGAATAATAGTGATACTAAAACATTTGACTTATTTAATTATTGATGAAAATGCCATGGGTTGACTAAAAAGTACAGAAAATGATGAAAGTCCAGCATGCAGTGTATATAGATGTGGCTGGTATTGAAGTGTCTAAGGGGACCTACCATTTCAACTTGAAATATGGACTCAACATTAAGCCTAGTGCTTGGTTGGTCCAAAATTGAATGACAATGTCAATGACTAGTGAAAAATATACCAATAAGATATTATGGGTGTCACCACAATTTGCTTAATCACAACTTTTTCCAACACACAGTTTTTCCTTTTATATAACTATTTATGAAATAAAAAATAACACTATATTATAAAATTAATATTTCATTATCAAGTGAAAAAAAATTATATATATTTTCTTTTAAAATGGAGCAAATCACGTGAAAAATGAAAGCATAAATAATTAGTATGTTTAACTTTTTTTTTTCTTTGAAAATAAAATATAACATTTGAGAATGATAGAGGAACACATACACTAAGTAAGTCAAGAGTTAAGAGGCAAGATGAGAGAAAAAAAAATCTTAATATTTTTTACTTTTTATTATATTTAATTTTATATTTTACTATTTATTAACATTAAATAACGTGTTTTTATTAAAAAAATTAAAATTTACTTAATTTAATTTTCATAAATTCCTATTAAATATACATATACTTTATTTAAAGTGTTAGAGGTTATGATTAGAGATGTCAATTTGACTCATGACTAATGGACTAATTTTAACTTCCTCATTAGTCTTTATTGATTTGATGTAAGTTTGCCTCAACTAGGTTTCAGGTGGGTTCAACATGATTCAATCACATGTGAACCAGTGACTCAAATCAACTTAACCCAACTATAGTAGAGGGTGGCTTGACATGACTTAGCCAAAGGTGGGCTTTAAATGATTTGACTAAATGTTGACTTAACATGACTTGAAAAAAAGGTGGGCTTGACTTGACTTAGCATGAGGTGGATCTCTCGTATCGATTTGAGTTGGGGCTTGAGTTTTCTTGGATTGAAGGTTAAGCTAGGTTGGTTCAAATTAAAGGTCAAACTAAGTTGATTTTTCGAATGATTCGAGTCAACTTGAGTGGTCGAGATGAGTCAACCAGGTTAAAATACAAGTTGAGTTAACATGGACCAAATGTCAAGTCAAGTTGGCCAGAGCCAAAGGTCATGTCGGGTTAGCCAGAGTCAATGGTTGAGTCGTGTTAGCCAAGGGCAAAGGATAAGCCAAGTTGAGCCAAGTCAACTAGGGTTGAAGGTGGAACTGAGTAGGCCCATGCTAAAGGTCAAACTGAGTCGATTTGGATCGAAAGTCAAGACAAGTCAACCTAGACTGAAAGTCGAGCCAAGTTAGTTCATAATGAAGTTCAAATCAAGTCAACTTGTGTCGAAGGTTGAGACTAATCGATCGTGCAAAAGGTCGAGGTCGGTAAGCTTAGGTTGAAGGTCAAAACAAATGACTGAATCAATAGTTGAGATGAAGGTTGAGTCAGGTTGACTTAGACTGAAAGTCAAAGTGAATCAACCAAGGTCGATGATCAAGATGAGTCAACCTGGTATCAATGGTTAAGATGAATTGACTTGTATCGATAAATCGAACCTATAACTAAATCAAACAGTAGAGTCGAAAAATTATATACCTAATCCAACCTCTTTTATTTTGGTTTGAGATGATCTCACATTCCACATGATTTTTGTTGTTATTTTGGTCTTTGTAAATTTTCTCTTATGAATTTTTTAACTCTTGGGACTTTTTTTTTTCTTGACCCGATCAAGGCCACACCCTATAAAGCGGGTAATTTGACAAATCTATTCCCGACACTCAACTTCCAAGATTCTCCGCTTCCTTCTTGGTATCTTCAAGGTCTTATTCTATTCTTGCTCTCAACCAGTATTTTGATTTCTGTTTTATATAATATATACCAGTTTTGGTTTTGTAAAATCAAACCGTAGACAATATATACCAATGGTAATAATGTAATATGCAAGTAGAACAGCAAACTGTGAATACAATATTATGGACTGTTATAATCGTGAAATATAATAATACATTTTCCTACAATTTTCTTTGTGCATAAAATTTGTACTTTGTTATATTTTCTTGTCGAAGATACAAAATAATATAAGAATTCAGTTTCTCTATTTTTTTTCATACCAGTGAGTTGAATATCGAGATAAATTTTGGGTCAAAGATAAGTTATATATTGTTAAAGGATTTGTTTTATAGCTTTGTCTTTTTTTTTTTTGGTTATATTTGATTTACAAACACAAAACAAAGAACATTGCCGATATTTTTCATTTCATCTTTTAAGAATTATTTACGCTAAAACTTATAGTCACACAATTTATAAATCTTGCTACTAAAGAATTTTTTTTAAATATCATACTATATTTGGCTTGTTAATCTAACTGTTTTTACACATAGATATATAAAAGCTTTTAATTAGTTTCGTAGATACATAGGAAAGGCAACACATGTTATTTGAATTTAAAGTAAATTGAAGACAACATTTACATCTAACAAAAAGAGACAATCAATATTAATTTAAAATTTAGCTACTCTAGATACATCTCATATATATATATATATATATATATATATATATAATCAGTAACATCTAAAAGTTGTCACTAATTAAATTTTTTTACAGATAACCGATGGGCTAAGATCTGTCGATAATGTTCATGTCGAAAATAATTATAGATGGTCTATACTCACCAATAATTACCGATGATTTATATCTGCTGATAATTACTAGTGGATCAGTCAATGGCGAAATAAAACGTTTATTGATATTGTTGGAAGTCCCACATCGATTAGAGATAAGACCAATTTATAATATATAAGTGAGGTGCAAACCTCACCTTACAAGTCAGTTTTGTGGAGTTGAGTTAGACTTAAAGCCCACTTTCTAATATGGTATGTTAAAGTCTATTTTAGTGAGTTCTAAGTGGGCATTTATGTTTTCATCCGTTGTTGGGCCGCTATCGGACCACCCATTAATTTCTACTATCAATCACGAGATGTCTATACCTCAACGTGAAGGGGGTGTGTTAGAAGTCTCACATCGACTAGAGATAAGGCCAAGGGGTTGA